TAGCCAGGCACTGTTACACTCAAGACAATATTATTTTTATTATTATTAATAATGATAAAAATAATAATAATCCTTGCATTTGATATAGCGCCTTATTCCATCGTTGAGATGTCTCAAAGATAAGACAAGAACAGAACAAGCGTTTTAGTCTTATATTATTTTCTGTAACATTACTATGGGATAAATTCTACCTGGCTTCCAAAATGCATAATATTTTTATAATACATTATATTTAACGCAGGGTTTCAGAGTCTTTAAGAAATCCTCTGGGTCTTAGACCATTTTTTCTTTCTGCAATCTCCCCCCAATGCGTTCAAAAAGTCAATTTAGACCCGAGTGGAATTTCTCCCTCAAATATATTTCTCAAGATAATATTTTTTGGGGGCGGGTTGAGGGCTAAAACATAAAAGCAACAACAACAACCAAATAAATAAACAACAGATTGAAAAGTGTATGGAATGAAACAAAGTATGATTTATGTCTGTGTGTGCGTGTTTTACAGGAAAGTAGCAATTTCTGACAGGCTAAATATTTCAGATTAATTACTCAAGAGATGAAAATAATTTATCTACGGTCTTTTTGTTTGTTGAGTTCAAAATGGTAAAGCTTGATTGCATATATTTTGACAAGTCAGAAGAAAGATTTTTTGGCAAAAAAATTTGAGGGTGGGAGAAAATAGACATAACTCCCTCTCTCCATCCCTCCCTGAGAAACACATTATATATATATATATACATTAAAAATACTAACAAAAATACTACAGTTGCTACAGTAGTATTATTTTTTTAAAAAGTTGGTCACTCAATCCACGACTGCTTGTGGGATACTGCTGTGTGCATTTGGCTGACACTTTTTGTCCACAAAATATACAGTCAATTCACTTTACAGTATATTTTATGAAGCGCTTTGAAACGTCTGGAAGACGTGATAAGGCACTGTAATCAAACGCAAGGATTATTATTACAGCCTTGTATTTGATATTATTTACTGGGAAAAAAAATGTGACAGGCAATGTGTGAGAGAGAGAGAGAGTGGGAGAGAGCAGGATAACCCAAAGTGGTTTGAAAAATATGTGTAAAACAAAATCTGACTCAGTCTCTCCCAACCATATGGTTTTGTTAACCCCTCATCACAATGCAAGTCAATGTGATGGATGGGTTTGGCCGCCCACCTAACCCCCTCCCTCTGTTTTAACCCTTTTTTGTGTTCTTACACTAACATACCATCCCCGCCCCCCCCACCCCCCCACCCCTTCCACCCAACTGACTAGCATCTGTTCTTATCTGTTTGTACTAACTGGGGTTCAAAACAATATATATCTACACACACACATGAATAGTAATAGACTGTCTCTAGTTGTAATGAATATATCTCCATTCGGCTGTATGGAAATGAGTTAATTCTCACTCACTTTCTCTCTGTCTCTCTGTCTTTCTCTGTCTCTCCCCTCGCCATGCCTCTGAAGGCATTTAGTCATTTTGTTCCACTGCTTATATAACAGTTAACGAGCCCCATGAAACCTCTTGCTTTTACATTAAACTCGTGTCTCCTTAAATATAAAGCGAAAATCGCCCAACTATTAAACTGGGTTGGGGGAACCAGTGTGTACACAGATTTTAATTCCCCCTCAACACATACATGCACACATGGTGTTGCGCATTAGCTTTTGAAACTTTATGGGATAAAAGTTTTTTTGGAGTGTTTGAGAATATTAGAGTCAGGGTGGTTAGGAGTGAGAAATTCACTTTGGGTGTGGTGTGAGTGGATTTCCCAGCCCAGTCTTAAAGTTCCCAAAGGCAGAATCTAATAGGATGTTTATACAACAATAATAATCCTTCCATTCGATACACCGCTTTATCACGTCAAAGTGCTTCACGGGATTTCCTGTGAAACATAGTAACTATGTGGTTTGTGGATCAACATAGCAAAATAAAAAATTGGTCACTTGATTCCATTACTGTTTGTGGGACACTGCTGTGTGCTATCAGCTGCTGCATTTCGCCCACAAAATACACAGTCAACTACTTTACAATATTTTCTGTGAACCATGCTATATCAAATGCCAAGATTATTGAAAGATACAGGGGATTAAAATGTATATAATATATAATAATAATCTTTGCATTTTATTTGGCTCCTTATCACGTTGTTGAGACGTCTCAAAGCACTTCACAGAATATATTGTAAAGTGGATTCACTGTGTATTTTGTGGGCGAAACGCAGCAGCCAATTGCACACAGCAGTGTCTCACAAACAGTTGTGGATTGTATGAACGCATTTTTTTGAGGGATTATTACCCACAGAAAGCGATCCGCCAATCAACTCATAACCTGGTTCCTACTTATTGCTAGGTGAAAACACAGGAGTGTGAAGTAAGGAAACTTGCCTAAGGTTTCGCACGCTAACCACTATGCTACGGGACTCCGTAGTATAAACAATGTAGTGACTGTATTTTGTGGGTGAACACAGCAAAATGGTGTTTAACAGATACCAAATGTAA